CTTTAATTTTAAAAGGCAGATTTTCAAATTCTTGAACATCATGATCGTATTGTAATTCGCCTTTATTGTTGTATTTTTCAACATTAATAGCACCAGCTAAAGACATTTCTGTTTTTTTATAGTAGAATTTTTTTTTAATACAATAGAATTTTTTATTCGATTTTACTTTCATTATTTTTTTTTTTAGTGAGATTATATATTTGCTCCTTTATTTTATAGTTTAACTAAATAAAGAAATTCATTGACAAATATGTAGCTAAGTTGTAATATAAATATTCACAAAAATAATCAATAATAAAACCACAAAAGGAACTTACAAAAAAATATTGAACCAATAAAATTATTTATTTTGTATACGTAATTAATTACATATTCATTTTTAGAACTTTCTAGCAAAATTTTTATAATAATAAATTTGAACAAAAATATTTTTTTTCTCTTTACGATTTATTCATTTCAAAATTCACTTTACAAAACTTTTACACAAAATTCTTATTATCAGCCAAACAAAAATATTGTAAGTTTAATTTTATTACATTTTTTTTTTAAATAAAATATTTACAACAGAAAAACAACTAAAATTTAATATAATAAAAATTCTTTTGCGTATTCATATAAATCATCTAAATCTAATAGATAAAAATAATTTTTAAAAACTTTGTTGAATACGTTATTTACAGATTGTTCAAAATCCTCCTCGTATTGAGAAACTCGCCATTCCCAACACCATTGATCATATTGATTTTTTATAAATCCTCTTTCTTTTGAATGTAAATTTGTCCAAGAACGAACATGGGCTTCAAAAAGACCAATCCAAGTTGATAGTTCTTTATATAGTTCTGGTTCTTCGTTTCTTATTGCTTCTTGATAATCTTCATATTTTGTATAAAAATTTAATTGCAATATAGAAAATTGTTTTTCTTGTTCAATTGTTGGTAACGGATTTTCAAAAGAATTTTCTTTATCAATAATTGAACCAGACGATCGATTTGAATTTTCTTGAATATAATTTTCCCAAGTTAAATCGATAGTTTGTTTTTTGTTAAAAATTTTGATTTTCTTAATAATTTTTTTTAACAATGTTTTTAATAAAAGTTATCTTTAAAAAATTTAAAAAATATAAATTTTTCAAATTGATTATTGTTTCAGTGATAATTTCTTTGTAAAATTTTTGTTTTTACGTAAATTTTTAACTCTTATATAAATAAAAACTATAAAAAAACAAAATATAAAATAAAATAAAAATAAAAAACTTGTTTCTTAAATTTTATCATTTGACTAAAATATTGAATAATTTTCGTTAAAAGTTAAAGGATTTACAATCAACAAAAAAAACAAATATTTTATATAAAAACACCAATTACAATTTAAGATTTAAAAGATAAAGATCTCATTTATAAATTATAAAAAAATTATAAAATTAATATGTCCTAATTTAGAAAATTAAAATATTATCTTATCAAAAAAAAAAAATAAATAATAAAAACATGATTAAAAATTCTGTTTTTTTTCTAATTTTAGAATTTAAGAAACTAAGAAACTAAAAAAATCGAGGAAAATTCACGTGGACTAGCCAAAAAAATTTACAAACTAGTTATGTTTATCTTTTTCTATCATTCTTTTCAATTTCTTTAGCTTTTTGTAATCTAAATTTAATATTTGATTAAATAACCATTTAAATTTCCAGTAATTTTATCATGTTCCATTTTGAATTTGATTGCTTGTTGCTTAGCTTGATCACTAGTTCTTTTTTGTTAATATAAAATAATTTAGCTTTACGTTTGTTATTTTCATTAAATTGAAAAGTCCAAGCTTTATTTGTTTTATCAAAATAGATTCCATTATAACCAGATGTATTATGTTTATATAATTTACAATTCAAAGCATTTTCTTTTGGTGTTGTTTCTCGTAAATTAATTTCACGATTATCTAATCCAGAACGATTTAAATGGTCAATTATTTTAAAATTTGATTTGATTAATCGATGAATTTTAATAATTTTCCATTTATTTTCTTTTTTTATATTTGTTGAAATATAAAATGTGTTTCTATATTTTCGACAAATCCAAGTATATTTTTTCAGGAGATGAAAATTCTCTTTATCAAGAAGGAAAGTAATTTCAGACTTTTGAGTTTTAACTTCTAAATAAATTGTAAAATTGATTTTCACAAGATGATATTCATTCAATTTAAGTTTTGGTTTATCAAGATTCTTATATTTTTCCCAATCTGTAACGATTTCAAAGTCTTTGAATTTTTCTTGCCAATTAGACATTTTTATTTAAATATTTAAGAAATAAAATATTACAATATTTATATTTTTTTAATCTATACAAATAAAAAATAATCTAATTATTTTACCTTTTTCTATTATCCTTTTCAATTTCTTTGACTTTACATTTTTTTGATGATTCAGCAATTGGATTTTCATAATCATATAAACTATTATCTTTAATATTTTGTTGACTTTTTTCTTCTAAATCTTCTCGATATTTAAAAAGTTTCTTACAATTTGGATAATCCCTCAAATAATTTTTCTTAAATTCTGGAAATTTTTGTCTCCAATAGACATCATCACCATCAATTATATGTTCACCATTTGAAGAACTATTTATTTTTTTGCCTTTTTCTATTAATTCTTCTATTGTATTTTCTCCGTTTCGATATTTAACGTCTAATTCTAAATTGCGAAACTTTTCTTCATCACCTTTGTGGAATATAATTTCTGTTGTACGTTTTTCAATATCGTCATTCCATTTGCCAGTAAATTCAATGATATAATCTAAACGCCGTTCAAATTGACCCTATATAAATAATATCAGATTAAAATTTTTTTTTAAAAAATAGAAATAATATCAAAAGTTAAAAATACCCAATCACACTATGTTGATTCTTCATCATTATGAGTTCTACCAAAATTATATGCGTCTTCTGGTGGTTTTCTTGCAGTTAGAAATATATATTTTGCCAAAAAAGGCTCAAATCCTTTTGACTTTATCTCCACATAATATGGTGTATCATTAAACAAATTTACAGTATCGTTCCAATTAATTTTTGTATAAAACTCATCTAAAAGAACCATTTCTTGACCACAATAACCATTCCACCAATTGCTTCGTTGTTTTTTTGGTTTATCAGCATATAACTGATCTCTAAATAATTCGGTTACAAGTCCTGATTTTCCACTGCCTCCACAACCATAAAGATAAAAAGTTACAGGATGCCAAAATCTTTTAAAATCTTTTTTTTTTTGTTGTTGGATTCTACGTTCCAAATATTCTAAATCTTGTAAACTTCTTAAAAAAGAACGTGGAAATAATTCTTTAGGATTTTTTATAATATCTTCAGAAGAAATATTATCTATTAACATATTATCTATTCTTTCCATATCTTCAAACTTTAGTTCTTTTATATCTTTTTTTTCTCTACAAGCTTTGGTAAAACTTTTTTCAATTTCTCTAAATTCTCCAAATTCGAATAGTCCAACAATTTCTTTTGGTAAAGTACCTCTTCCCCAAGCTGCAATTTTTCGTTCACAAGTTGAATCACATTTATCACACTGATGATTTATATCAAAAAAATTGCATCGACAATTTAAGTGTTTCTTACATCGATCATAAGTTTTTAAAGAATAATCTCTATTTTGAATAGAAGTACCACCTAATTTTTCTTGAAATATTAACGATTTATCCTTTTTAAATATTTCTTTAGCACTTTTAAGAGTTTGTCTCTTAGTAGAATGAAATTGTAAATACATTTGAGCATGTAACTTTTCATTCTCAGTTGGTTCAAATTTCCAAACAATATAAGAAACTTTATCTTTAATCTTTTCATATTCTTCTTGTGTTTTTGGTAAAACACGTTGACATTCAATATTTTTTTCTTTACAATGACTACATTTGATATTATTGCATTTGTTTAAATTACAACAATTTGTACAATTTGCATTAGAACAACGCCAATGTTTTTCTTAACATGAATTACAAATTGGAACACTATTTTTTTTATATTCTTTTTCACGATTCTTTTTATCTTCTTTAGATAATGTTTTTTTGTATTTAAATTTTTCTTTACAAGAAATACAATAAAATGTTATAGCTTGATTATGAGAAAATTCATATACTCGCATTTTTTTTATTTTTTTTTTACCCAAGAATATTTTTAACTCTTTATATACTTTTTATAACATAATAAAATAAATATTTTTTTATAAACAATACTTTAACTTAACAAAAAATATAAAAGACAAACAAAAAATCTCAACCAAACTTTAAAAGTTTACAAAATGTTAATGGATAATATTTCTTCTGAAGATATCATAAAAAATCTTAAAGAA